AATTTTATCTTTTAAAAGAACAAGTTTTAGTTTCTTTTCCTTTTTAGTCTCTATTTCATTTATTTCTACTCTGATCTTTATCATTTCCATCCTTCTACTAACCTTAGGCTTCATTCTTCTGTTTCTAATTCCTTGAGGTGTAAAGCTAGATTTGAGATTAAGTTTTACTTGAGATTTTTCTTGTTTCTTGATGTAGGCCTATATTGCTATAAACTTCCCTCACAGAACTGCTTTTGCTGTCTCCCAAAGATTCTGAACCGTATTATTTCTATTTTCATTTGTCTCTAGGTATTTTTTTATTTCCTCTTTGATTTCTTTCTTGACTCATTTGTTCTTTAGCAGTGGGCTGTCTTTGTGTTTCTTCCAGTTCTTTTCTTATAATTGATTTCTACTTTATTTTTTTATATTTTTTTAAGTTTGTTTATTTTTGAGAAAGAGAGAACTAGCAGGGGAGGGACAGAGAGAGAGAGAGAGGGACAGAGAAAGAGAGAGAGTGGGACAGAGGATTCAAGCAGGCTTTGTGCTGACAGCTGAGAGTTTCATGCAGGGCTCAAATTCACAAACCGTGAGATCATGACCTGAGCCCAAGTTGGATGCTTAACCAACTGAGCCACCCAGGTGTCCCAATCTCTATTTTCATATAATTGTGCTTCTTAAATTTATTAAGACTTGTTTTGTGGTACAATGTGTGTTCTATCCCTAGAGAATGTTCCATGTGCACTTGAAAAAGATGTGTATTCTGCTGTTTTGGGATGGATTTTTCTGTGTATATCTCTTAAGTCCATTTGGTCTAATATGTATTTAAAGCCACTGTTCCTCTAATGATTTTCCATCTGAATGATCTATCCATTGATGTAAATGGGCTTTTAAAGTCCCCTATTATTATTGTATTACTGACAATTTCTTCCCTTTATGTCTGTTAATATTTATATGTTTAGGTGCTCCTATGTTGGGTTTGTGTAGATATTTACAAGTGTTATGCCCTCTTGTTGCATTGGTCTTTTTATTATATGTAATGCCCTTCTTTGTCTTGTTACAGCCTTTGCCTTAAAGTCTATTTTGTCTGAAAAAAAAGTATTGCCATCCCAGTTTTTCCTACTTTCCTTTTCATGAAATATCTTTTTCTATCCCTTCACTTTCAGTCTGTATATGTCTTTAGGTCTGAAGTGAGTCTCTTTTAGGCAGCATAAAGATGGGTCTTGTTTTTTTTTTAATACATTCAGTCACTCTGTCTTTTGATTGAAGCATTTAGTCCATTTACATTTAAAGTAATTATCAGTAGGTATGTATTTATTGCCATTTTTAATTATTGTCTTCTCATTGTTTTATAGTTTTGTTTTGTTTTGTTTTAATTTTGTTTTAGGGATGCCTGTGTGGCTCTGTTGGTTAAGCATCTTACTTTGGCTCAGGTCATGATCTCATGGCTTGTGAGTTTGGGCTCCACGTTGGGCTCTGTGCTGATACCCGGGAGCCTGGAGCCTGCTTTGGATTGTGTGTGTGTCTTTCTCTCTGCCATCACCCACTCCCTCTCTCTCAAAAATAAACATTTAAAAAAATTTTAAGTAATAATATTTTTAAATGTTTATTTTTGAGAGAGACAGAGCATGAGCAGGGGAGGGACAGAGAGAGAGAGGGAGACACAGAATCCAAAACACGCTCCAGGCTCTGAGCTGTCAGTACAGAGCTAGACATAGTGCTTGAACCCATGAACTGTGAGATCATGACCTGTGCTGAAGTCAGATGCTTACCAACTGAGCCACCCAGGTGCCCCTATACTTCTATCTTCTTTTGCTCTCTTCCCTCATAGTTTGATGACCTTCTTTAGTGTTATGCTTCAATTATTTTCTCTTTATTTTTTGAGGGTGCATCTATTTTAAGTGTTTAGTTTGTGATTACCATGAGGTCCATATATAACATCCTAAGTATATAGTAGTTTGTATTAAGTTGGTGGCTGCTTAAGTCCAAATACATTCTGAAACACTACATTTTTACTCTCCATGTTTATGTATATGATGTCATATTTAACATCTTTTTATTTTATGTACTCCTTGACTAATTTCTGTAGATATAGCTGATTATACTAATTTTGCATTTTAACCTTCATACTAGCTCAATGATTAATTTGCTAACTTTAATGTATATTTGCTTTTGCCATTGAGATTTTTCTTTCTTTCATAATTTTCCTCTAGGTATAGCCTTTTATTTCCCACTTAAGAAGTTCCTTTTACATTTCCTGTAAGGCCAGTTTAGTGGTGATGAAATCCTGTAACTTTCATTTGTCTAGGAAACTCTCTTTCCTTCTACATACCAGCCTTTTCTGGTGGAGTATTGTTGTTTATAGGTTTTTCCTTTCAGCACTTTAATATCATGCTACTCCCTTCTGGCCTGCAAAGTCTCAGCTGAAAAAATTAGCTGAGGACTTTAGAGGGTTTTGCCTGTTAGGTAACTGTTTGCCCCGCTCTTGCTGTTTTCTTATCTTAAATTCTGCCATTTTAATTATGTGTCATGGTGTGGACCTCCTTGGATTTGCTTGGGACTTCCTGGACTTGGATGTCATTTTTCTTTCCCAGATTAGGGAAGTTTTTAGCTGTCATTTCTTCAAATAAGTTTCTATTCCCTTCTTTCTCTCTTCTCCTCTGGGACCTCTATAATGCAAATGTTAGTATGCTTGTCTCAGAGATCCCTTAACCTATTCTCATTTTTTCAAATTCTTTTTTCTTTTTGCTATTCAGTTTGGGTGCTTTCCATTACCCTGTCTCCCAGTTCACTCATCCGTTCTTCTGCATCCTCAAATCTTCTGTTGATTCCTTCTAGTGCATTTTTAATTACAGTTATTATATGCTCTGACTAGTTCATTATATTTTCTATTTTTTTGTTGTTCTCATTGTGTTCACTCACCCACCTCTCAAGTCATGTGACCATTACTTTGAACTCTTTTCCAGGGATTTTGCTTATCTCCATTTTGTTTAGCTCTTTTTCTGTGGTTTTGTCTTGTTTTTTTTTTTTTTTTTTTTTTTTTTTTTTTTTTTTTTTTTTTTTTTTTTTTTTTTGTTTGGAACATATTCCTCTGTCCCCTCATTTTGTGTAACTCTCTGTTTGTTTTTATGTATCAGGTAGGTCAGCTATATCTGATCTTGAAATTAGTGGCTTTATGGTGAAGGCATCCCGTGGTGCCCCACAGCATAATATACCTTTGTTTCCAGAGCCAGGTGCCCCAGAGATATCCCCTGTGTGTGCATCTTCCTGTTGTGGCTGTACTGCTGTTGGACACATTGGTGGGTGGGGTCTGCCCCTCACACAGCTAGCGGAGAGGCCTGTTTATATGGACAATAGACTCTTTGAGGGGTCACTGGTCCCAACTGAGGCTACCTGGCTGGTTATGACAGGACAGCAGTCACTTTGGAGGGGTGCCTGCTGAGGCGGGTGGATTATGTGGGATGGACCTATTGAGGAATGAGGGGGTGGTGCAAGTGCTGCTCACAAAGAAGAGAATTTCAGAAATGGCCCTTGCAAGCATCCAGACATCTAGGCTGAAGCATGCCAAGAAAAATGGCACCTGTCTGTACCTCTTTTCCTGGAGAAAGCTTCTGCAGATTTCTGACCCTCTGGCACATATTTGAAAATCAGTCATAAATATCCTTTTCAAACTGGTTCTTCTGTGTTTGAAAAGTTGGCACTTTTCTTACTGCTTCTTCAGTGCTGGCTCTTTAAAAGTCAAGACTTGGTGTCCTTATAACCTTCTGGCTCTCCTGGAGTTAAGCCATGCTGATTTTTTAAAAAAATGTTTATTTACTTTTATTTTGAGAGAGAGTGTTCACATGTGGGGCAGAAGCAGAGAGAGAGAGAGAGAAAAATCCCAAGTAGGCTATATGCTCAGCATGGAGCCCAACATGGGTCTCTTATCTCACAATTGTGAGATCATGACCTGAGCCAAAATCAAGAGTCAGACACTTAACTGACTGAGCCACCCAGCTGCCCCAAGCCCTGATTTTTAAAACCAGACATAGCGACTCATCTCAAGTGTAGGAGCCCAGGGCTGGGGGGCCCAGTATGGGGCTTGATCCCATTGTTCCTCCATGCTTCTGATGTCCCTCCTACTTGTTGGTAGCTGTAGCAGTTAAGTTCCTCAACATATCTCTTACCCTTCTTGATGTAGCCTTCTTTTTATTACTTTAGCTGTTAGAGAAGATCTGTTCTGCCAATCTTCAGGTCATTTTCAGAGTGAGTTGCAATATAGGTAGTTGTTACACCTTGGTATATCTGTGAGGTTGGTGAACTCATGATTCTTCTACTCCACCATCTTCTTTCTATATCATATCCTTTAAAAAACTCATTAATCAGAACGTGTCACTTAGCACATCTCCTCTATTTAACAGCATTGAATGGATTCTCCTTGTATTTTAAATGAAATGCAAACTCCTTTGCATGCTATGCATGATACAACTTCTGTTATCCCAGTATCACCTTGACACCCCTGCCTCTCCCCAGATGCTAGGTATTCTATTTTTTTTTAAAAAAAGACATAGTGTCCCTTCCTCAATATCTTCCTTTTACTCTGCAATTAGCTAAAAGTTGGTGTCTTCTAACTTTTTAAGCTCCTTAACTATCACCTCTTCAAAGATGCCTTTCCTTAGCATTCCATCTAACTAGGTTTTCAACACCTATGCTGTTATCCATGGCATGAACCATAATTTATAATTATACTTTTCTTTGCTCACTTGATTTATAGTGTTCTTTGTCACTAAAATGTAAGGTACATATGCTCAGGGAACATGTTCATCTTATTTTTCAGCATATACTCAGTGCTTGTCATAGTAACTGATACATGGTAGGCAGGCAATAAATATTTGTGGGCAGAGTGAATGGATTACACCTGTGCCTCCTTTCCCTTATTGAGGTTGCTTATCAGCAGTCACAAAACAAATTTTGTTTCAGTAGTGACTCAGTTACCCAACTTGCTGATAAGGTCACATGGTCTGTTTTACTGTACCTTTCTTCAGGTATCACCACTGTCCTGACAATGACCACCCTCAGCACTATTGCCCGGAAGTCACTCCCCAAGGTCTCCTATGTCACAGCAATGGATCTCTTTGTATCTGTTTGCTTCATCTTTGTCTTCTCTGCTTTGGTGGAGTATGGCACCCTGCATTATTTTGTCAGCAACCGGAAACCAAGCAAGGATAAAGACAAAAAGAAGAAAAACCCTGTATGTATCATTTCCCATTGGGATCATGGAGATTTTTACTTAGAAGCCCACCTGGTTTTGTTTTTGTTGGGTCTTAGTCTGTCTGCAGACTAAACCTCAGTGATTTGGGTTCCAAAATGAAAACAGAATGTATGAGTTTGGCTAGGACATAAGAATTCATTTTGGTCATTAGTTATTTGGGAGAGACCTGATTCATGAAGGAAGACTCCCACTCTTTTCATTTCATGGGAATTATAAATATTGCTGACACCTGCATTTATTTTCTATTGATTGTCACCTTTCTGTTCCTTACAATAACATTCTGAAGTTATTGTTATTTTAAAATAACATTTTCACTCAAGGCTTTCCACTAGGAAGCCATAATGTTCTTGAAACTTCAAAGATCACCACATTTTTGCAAGTAATTGTCTCTGTGCATGTTACCACCAGAGTACTACTATTGGTTTCATACCAAAATGTATATCATTTTGTTTTTAAATGAAATGATACTCTATTGTTTGGGCAAGTTACTTAGCCTCTGAGTGTCTTTGTTTACTCATATACAAAATATGTATTTTTTTATAATAATTACCTCAAAGGGCTACTGTGGCAATGAAGGTAAAAAGCATTACATGGTACCTTACAAATGGAAGTCCTTATCTTTAATAGTTGATGATGACGATGGTTGATGTTGATGATTTATACACTTACCGACAAGGATTGATTTCAATGATTTGGAAAAAGGTAGGATGACTTCACCTTGCCATCAAACTTTAAATAAAAAGGCACAGATAAACAAGCCTAAAGCAATTATCTTTTAATATGGATGTTGAAGAGAGCAAGTATACCCATTTATGTACCTGAATGTGGCCGGTTGGCTCATAGGAAGCCCTGTGGAAGTTAAGGTCCATTCCCTTCTAAGTCAGGGGCAAAGGAAGTCACCCTAGCCTCCTCAGTTTATAGCCCTTCCTTGTCTGCTGTAAGGGCCATGAGGGCCTTAATAGTGGCTAGTTATCTGGCCCACCAACTTAGGGGGAACTAAATTATAATGAGGAAATATAGCTGATTCTAGGTTGTATCCTGATGGATCTCCAGGAAACCTGGTGAGATTCTACAAATGGCATATATTTACTTGAATGTAACAATTTGCAACAGGTAAAGAAAAAAATCATCATTATTCTTGGTAATTAAAACAAAAAGAAATGCTTATCCTTAATTTCCCAACTATTCACTAAGCTTTATGCAGTCCTTTCCTTCCCTTTCTGTTTTGCTTGTCTTTGCATTTTTTCTAACCTTATTTTATTTTTGTTGTTGTATTTTTTTAAATTATTATTTCTCCCCATTCTTCGCTTTCCATTATTTTTCCCAAGAATAGAGTTCTATACCATTCAGCATTATTACCTTCCAGCATTGATAAGGATGTGAGGGTGTGCTTTTAAACAAGAGTCCTTCGGAAAAAGCCTTTATGCCCTAACAGCTATATGATTGCAGAGGAGATTAAAGAAACTGAAAAAAAATTAAATTATCTGATAATTTCATGGACTTCCCTATTTTAAGACAATCAAGTGATTTATCAAAACAAGAAAGAGACTAAGCTGTGAAGGAAAAGCTGAAACCTTATTTTTCCATTTAATATGCTCTTTGGTTCATTCTATTAAGACTTACCTATTAAGGCTTCTTTGACAATAATTAGAAAATAAAAATCACAATACTTCTATACAGGGAAGCCAGGCTATGGAAAGCTTCCTCACAAGTGGACAACACTGGCTTGTATAGTTAAGTAATTGTGGATTAATTTATTAAAATCCCCAAATTCCATTTTCCAACGTTAGGCATATACTTTATTCCAAGTTCAGAATTGTCCTTCTGTGTTTATAATTTCAGTTCATTTTACTTACTATGTTTTTAAAATGTATTTTTAATTTGTCTTATTTTGTCTTTTTCTTTTCTTTTTTTCCTTCTTTTAATTAAAAAAAAAATGCAATTCTCTTTTCTGTCTACAAACCCAAAGCTTCTTCGGATGTTTTCCTTCAAGGTATAATGTTTTTGGAATGAAAATTCACTGCATGCAACTGCTGAATTTAATTATTAACGCTTACATGGTGTTTCGACTTCTTTTGTTTTTTAGTGAGTAGACCTTTAAGCATTCTACTAAAGATAAGGGCTTTGAGATGAAGAAAGCTTTATAGATTTCCAGAGTTGAATCATCAACCCTACACTAATTCACAGAAGTGTTGACCCTATATAAAGCTCAAAAGCTGCAAACTCTATGAGATGTCCTTAGAAAAGAGGGCCTCTTTAAACATCAAAACCAAAACTTATCCTCTCTTCCCAGATAAAAATAGGATCCAATTTCACTGACAGCACCTAACATATATACTATATATGTTCTTAAAATGTAACTCTGTAAATCTGAATTCAAAATAAGATTTGTTTTTTGTTAAGTAAATTTAATAATCTCCATTGGTCTGAACCCTACCTGTCAGTTTTATAAAAATAATACTCTTTGAAATCTTTAAGTTAAAATATCCATCCCTTTCCTCTAGAATAATCCAGGGGCCTTTTGGCTCTATCATGTAATACTGCAATGATATTTCTTTGCCCAGTTGAATTCTGATAATTTTCCCAGAGACACTGGGATTTGTGTTTATGATATCCAAAACAAACTCCTCCAAATTAAATTAATCATTGAGATTTATAGTTATTTCATAATTAATATGACAGCAAAAATCAAATTATTCAGTTTATTGATATTAGTTTCTTCTCAAATGCTAAAAAGGTGGTAGCATTTTTTTTTTTCTGAATGTTGACTCACATATAGGTAAACATTGCTGATGTTCTAAAGCTTCTAGATGGTAAATGTTAGACAAAGCACTATATGTCTTTAAAACATAAGCCATACCATTTGTGGCCTATACTTAGGAAACTCCTACATTTGTATATATTTTAACATTTTTTTTTAATAGCATTTAGTACATTATACTTTCCTCAGTGTAATGGGGTTTACCATTTGCCTATAGGTAAGCATGACACAAAATTTGAGTTCAAAATTAATGCATTTTATTTCTCTGTTCTACTCACATGCAACACCATTAAATGCCTTCATGTAACCAATCTCACATCTAATATTTACTAGACTAAGATTCCATGTAGTTGTTTGATTTAAATCTTTAAACTTTGAGTTCTTTTGGTGTTCAATCTTCTTGCTATAGCTATTAGCTTGATGGTATTATTTTCAGCTGCACTGCTTAAGCTCAAAATTTGAAATCTGCAAATGTGCTATCCTTCTAAGTTCAATTTTACCATTGTAGATCACGATGTCATAGCAATTTCCTGAGTACTCATTTTCAGATTCATCATTCACATTGGTGACATTGTGGAGACTTAATCTAGGATTTATCAAGTATATCTAATTCTTCTTCCCTACCCTTGTCTCAGGCCCCTACCATTGATATCCGCCCAAGATCAGCAACCATTCAAATGAACAATGCCACTCACCTTCAAGAGAGAGATGAAGAATATGGGTATGAGTGTCTCGATGGCAAGGACTGTGCCAGTTTTTTCTGCTGTTTTGAAGATTGCCGAACAGGAGCTTGGAGACATGGGAGGATACATATCCGTATCGCCAAAATGGACTCATATGCACGGATCTTCTTCCCCACTGCCTTCTGCTTGTTCAATCTGGTTTATTGGGTTTCCTACCTTTACCTGTGAAAGAGGTATGGGTTTTATTGATGTGGGTCTTATTCACTAAATCTCATGGAGAGGAGATGTCCTTTCTAAAGTCCACTTAAATAATCCCCTGTGTGGTTTATGATAATTTGAATTTGTTTCTATGTTCTAACCTGCTAAATTGTATTAATGTCATATTGTTTGCGCCCAACTCTCCTGTGGTAAGTGTAATTTGAACTCTAATGTTTGCTGTGTTTCAAACCTGCAAGGCAGAGTGAAATTAGAGCAAGAACACTGAAATGAACAAGATACCTTTCAGCTACAACAACTGAAATAGTGAAAGCCATGACTGTTTACAGTGGTGGTGTCCTTAATCAATTCAAAATACAATTAGATGCAAAATGTCCAAAACTGCACCCTATGTTCATTTGGGGGCAGGTTGTGGTAAATTTGATCCCAGTAGAATATCTCCCTCATTTGAGAAAAATCACAAGTCACTTTAAATATAAGAGCCTAGACTAGAAATCTATTACACCTCTATCCCAAGATAGGAAGAAATTTTCCTCCACATCACATGTACAATGATGTAAATATTTCAATAACGTAGAATGCTTCAAGTTTAATGCATGCATCTCTTTAGAACCAAAATAAATGGAATGAAGTTAACATCACAAAGCATTGTCTTTTATTCTGTGTCTTTGGGCAATAAAAGAATCATGAATGTAACGATAAGGGTTTGGGTTTGGAATTGGAGGGAGGAATTTTCTCTACCTTCTCCCTCACGCATGAAGATTCAAACAGCTTTTTTTTTTTTTTCTTTTCCTTGTAGGACAGATTAGAACACTTTAAGTAAAATATGGACTGAATAATTGACATTTGCCACTTCTAAATATGCCCAATTTCATAGAGTATAAAGTAATTGTATGTGCTTGCCGCTATTTTTTCTTCCTTTTAGGTTGATAGATTATAACAGAACTTATTCTCCATCTCAAGATCTGCTTCTAGTGATTGTGAGTGCCTTGTGGGCAGAATCCTTGTCATTTCCTCTTTGGGTCCTCAGCACCTTATATAGTGCCTAGCACATAGTTGGTGCTCAACAGATAGGGTTTGAAGTAAATTGGCTTCATATGCTTCTGTGAATCTCTCTGAGCTGGCCTGGAACCAGTGACTCATCTTTTGAACATAGGCATGGTCAAGTGATACTTGATCTTGTGAAAATGAACAAAAGGATCCAAATAACTTTGCCTAAAATAAATTTTTGATAATGAACAATAATAGCCAAAGTCCACATTCCTTTTAAAATAATACTTAAGTCATATGTTTATGCAAAAAAAAAAAAATGAGTCTACTAGGGCATAATTAGAGTTTGTGTATTTTTTTCCAGGTTTGGGGATGAGTTAGCTTTGACCCATCCATAATTCCACTTGAAGACATAGGACAGGCAAGATCAGGAATCATACCTGACTAGTGTTCAGAATGTTGTTTTCTATGCTCTGTAAAAAAAAAAAAAAAATGCACTGAAAATTAAATTCTAAAAATAAAACAAGAAATGAATGACTTACATGGAGGTTGAACCTATGACTGTGGCTTCTTTCAACTAAATGATAATCACATGAAGTGGTTGTCCCAGACTTCAAACATGATGAGTTGAGCTCCACCTTTAAGTACTCATCCTGAATCCCCTTTTTTCTAAAATAACACCCTTTGTCAGTTCTTCTTTATAGCAACCATTTCTTAAAGTCAGAATTCAGTCATAGCCAGTATAACTTGATAGATAATCTAAAAAGAGTAGAAAAGAAAGAGTGGCTTTGTTATAAAGCTATGTGAAGTCCTCATTGAGTCATCTGGATGAATCTTGAAACACATTTAGCTGCCAATTTTACAAATCTTTAATATATCAGTACTCTCATATATAACCTCAAAGACATGTAAATAGAATTAATTATTTTCATGTTTTGAATTGTTAACAATTTAATGTTGACTCTTTAGGAGAGTTGTCGGCAAATTTTCAATGATGAGAAACACATTATTGTCAACTTGAAATGTATTCTGTAATGGGGACATGCAAAAAAAAAGCTAGCTTTCCAATGTATGCATAGTACTGGCAGTATGAATATATGTTATATATAATCTTAATTATTAGCTGCTCCCCATCTGTGTATTTCAAAACCTTTTCACAAAGGGAATTGCCTAATATGTGGACTTTTCCAATAAAAATGCTGCATTCTAATTGATGGTGGCATGTCAGTGGTCTGGTTGGACTTGTTTGTCGTGAAGACTGTGACTTCTCTCCAGTAGCATTCCCCAATGCTGCTTTCCTTTTATGTGAGCTTTATTTGTGAGCAGTGTGATCATATTATGGATGGTGATGCTCCTCACTTCGAAGAAATTAAGAGATATATTTGAGGTGTGAAATGGAAATGGAAGGAAGTAATAACATCAAGTAAAGCTCAAGCCTTCTGTACCTCCAAACTTGTGGTGTGGTTAAGAATACGGACATTGGTGTCAAACATAATTGGGATCCCGACTCTACCATTTGCCTGTTGTTTGACAGTTATTAATTCATCCTTTATAATCCTCCATTTTATCAGCTAAAAGGTATAATAATGCCACCTCATGTAGTGACACTCAACAAATGATCAAAATGTCTTCTTTCACTTCCAGGGCCTCTGATATTCTGCCACCATGATCCTCCCACCTCCATCATATAAGCTGTCTTTAAAAATATCCAACAATACTCACACATGTCTTAATGTGACTCTGCAGCATGAGGTTTCATTTTTAAAGAGTATTTGTATTGCAAACATTCCTTTAAACTATAAAAATCTGAGAGTCTCTTATTGAAGAAATCTTACAGATTACTTTTAAGGCCAAAGAACATTTCCCTGTACCCCCAAACTTAAAAACATAGGGAGATATGCTCCCGAGACAGTGTCATATTTTATTGAAGTCCTCTGAAATTCTCAAAAGAAAGTAGCATAATCCTTTACAAGCACAGCTGCCCTAACCTTCCTCTGCCTGTCATTCTCTTGGCTTTTCATGGCTGCCTGCATCCAATTTAGACATCTTTCTCACCTTCTAGACATGTTTAAAAAACAATTTCACTTAGGTCTTGTTTTCTGTCTAACTCAATGCCTTTATATTTAGCTGAGTGCGTATTCATTGTATGGCCTTCAGCCCCCTTTTTAAGTCTCATATTATTCTGACTAGTAGCAACAATTTTTGTCTGTGATGAAGGTCAAATTAACCAAATGATGCAGTCTTTGGGGATTGTGTCAAAAATTGCTGTCTGTATGCTTTGTCACTATGAATTTTTGTCAAGTGTGTAGGAGAAAGGGAGGATGACCTAGACCAAAAGCTCTGCTATGTTTTTTAGTGCTGATTGAATTGCCAAAGGTCACACAGCCAGTTAATGGCAAACCTGGGAGAGGCATCTGACCATTGCTCTTTCTACTGGGTCATAGAGCATTTCAGGATTTGGAAGTAAAATTCTATAATACTTTATCTTTCTGTTAATACTTGAGGATCCGCCAAACTTGAGGATGCCTTTCTTTGATCTTGACCTCGCTTTGAATATTTTATTGCAATGAGACAAAAATGTTAGAATATGTAGTAAAAGAGATAATGTGATAAATTTTGCATTTCTTTTATTCTCTTTCTAAAGTAATGATCAAACATTATTCGGTGTTACCTGCTGCGTTCAGAATGCTGTTTGAAAGAAGTTACCTGAAAAATTCCAGACCCAGAGTTGGCCTTTGTCCCTTAGGACTTGAGACAATAGACAACTAAAGATTTTCCTATGGCTCCTCGGTATAGGCTCATTATTTCTATTATATCAAGAAAGTGCTACGACTGCTTTATTGTTACCAGTTCTGACAATAAAAATCATAGGCCAATTATAAATCCAGTTGTAACTTTCTTCTGCCATATTTGGGATATAAACATTTTCCCTTTTTATTTTTAGAGCAAAATGGAAAAGCAGAGGCTGTTTCAGTTTACCTAGGTTCAAATCCAGGCCCTCTCAAGACCTATTATTCCTGAATAGGGGATAATAATGGCTTATAACTCATAACTTTGTTGTAAGGAGTAACTGAGTTAATACCAAAGAAGGACTGCATGTTAATAATTTTCCTCAGCACAGAAAAGAAAGGGCATGAGATCTTTCTTAGTCTATCTTGCTTAAGAATATGGATTATCATTTATGAAGTTAATTACTACATATTCCCACTTTGTGGGAATAATAAACATAGATAATAAACAATACCTATGTTTACTGACATGCAATACTTGGGAAATTCATGTATATAAATAGAGCCAAGTACTAATAATTACTCCCAAGTGGAACAGTGTATCATTTCAATTACCATAGATGATACATATAAAGACACAAGTGTAGCTATCTTTTAAAAAGTAAAAAAGATTTCCCTTAAAAACATGGAAATGTGTAATGGGATTGCTAAATAAACATAAGTGACATTATCAACAAAGGTGTAGTTCCATCTTAATATAGTACATTTTTATAAGTCAATAAATTATTTTGTAGCTAATTTATAAAATCCTTAAAGAAATCAACATGAGGACTCAATCATAATTGAGGACTCTTGCCATTAAAAGAAAAACAAAATGTCACTGGGCCTGGGATAGAGAATTCAAGTCACATCTGGGGATGTTCCTAACTATTCCTATCTTGGGAGACTCAGTCTCATATGTAAATGAAGGTAATTGGTCTCTTCTGACTGATGTTAATTCTATCACTCCTCTGCTAATGTTACTGATATCATCTAACATTCAGACCCTCCTAAACTCTGTCATATCTTCCACACAGTTGTCTTGACTCATTTGTCCTATTTCCTCCTTGAGTCTTTTCCAAAACAGTGACACATTGCTGGAATGCCTTTCTCTGTTCACTTTCTGAAGAGTTGCTAATTAAAGATTCTACCTAGTCCATGGAGACTTTCCAGTCTGACTAAAGTATGATAGGCTATTTTCTTTTATTTCTTTCAGTATTTGATGGGATTTTTGAGTAGCCTTATCCTAATGTT